CAAAGTTCAACGTGATATTATCGCCGGTTGCCACGGCGGCAATGTTCGGCAATACAAGCAACTACAAAAAAGGAAGAAAAAGAATAGCATGCAAATCAAGCCGATGGAATATGAAATCCACGCGGTACTGCTTTGATTGTGCAACTTTTCTATCGAATATCATTATAAATGTCAGTGCAAAAACCAAAACGATTCAATGCCACACACACACACACACACACACACATACGCCTACCGTTTAAATGTTGACGCTTTTTCATCGAATGTAGCCAATTTCCTCTGGCAAACAAATCGGTTGTAGCGTTCAGTAAGCAGCCTGTGACCCTCGTTGCCTGCACGCTCGCTTCATCATTCGTGCATACAACGAACAATGCTGATATATCAAAAGTCATTATTGCATTCAAAGCGGATTTGAATAAGCGCAAGCCGTAGCAAACGATGGAAGCTTTCAATTTCAAATGCTCGTAAATATTGATAAACACGCGACGGAAGACGGAACCTCATGTGATATCCCGATTCAATCGATGAATATTGAAAATCAATTTTCTCTCGTCGGAAAATCCATTTGGAATTTCATGAATACACTTTGGGCGCACGAAATATGCTCTCTTCCGGATTCAGAAGAGATGATAAGGTTCTTTTTCTCTGTTTGGCGGTGTGTGCTCGGGGAAAACCGACTCTGACTAATCATTGCTCCTTTTTTCGATGGCATAGAAAATTTGGGTTGATACACACTGAACAACCAACAACCGGAATGTACCGGATGATGTTAGCATGATACGACGGCAGGCAGAGCGAAGTTTGGGGTCGTTTGTCAATATTGACACATAGTTTTGTTGTTGATGTACCGATAGTTTGCGACTGCAGCATGAATTAGCTGTATCGTGCATTGAAAGTGACAGTGCGAAATTGATCGAAATGCATTTGTGCATTAATGCACACACACACAGTGTGCACATGAAGACTGCTAGTAATCATTGTGTGCGTTCAACCTGAACCAACGTTTCAAATAGAGAGAGAGAGAGAGAGAGAGAGAGAGAGAGAGAGAGAGAGAGAGA